ACGGCTAAACTATGACGACATTCCTCTACACTTAACTGTGAACAAACTGATCAGGCTTAAGGCTCAAGATTCGTTTACATGGTATTCTATTAGAAAGCTTAGATCTGTGGAAGTAAAAGTCTTTGGAGAAGCAAAGAAAGGTCAATTATCATAAAGCACTCATAAACTCTTTTTTAAACAAAAGATTAGCGCAGATGGGTTGCAAGAGTAGGCCCTACAATATTCTGAGAAGCAGAGCATTCATTTTTTTCTTCTTTCCCAGATCTTGTTACTTGCATTTCACAAAACATTCAAACAGCCATGAGTAAAAGTCTGCCGAGCAGCAAAACACTGTAGGAACCAACAGCATCACGGTAGTACAGTTTCAAACGAAAATAGTAGCATTCATATCAACTGAACCTTTGTAAACAATTGTGCTGAAATTCTTCCCTAAGCCCGACATTCAATAGTCTGTACAGATACAGAGTAAGGAGACTGAGGCATTCATTTAAAACCCCTTTCCTGTTCAACCCAGCCAAAACCAACCAGAAAAAACAACACAGCTTCAAACACTGAGATTCAACCAGACATAGGCCTTGTGTTTCCCCACAGGATTTCCTCAATAAAAATAGATCACTGGCATGTTCATTACTAGAGAAAAAAAAGTACAAGAGCCAGCATAAGAAGGGCCTACTCAGAATTTACTTTCACTTCCACTAAGCACAAAAAAATTGTGGACACTGAAACCAGAGTGCTTCTATATGTGCAAAAGAAGTTGTGCAAAAGGCTGCCACTGTTGGAAGAGAATGTAAACAAGAAAGGGTTAAGGTGCACTTAACAGTTCTATTCTGAGAACGAGGAAGAAAAGTTCCATTGCCAGGAAAAGGAAAGATCCTCGACAAAAAAAAAAGTAAAAGGAGAAAAATAAAAAATAAATCCCACCATCAACTTACTGCAGTTATTGAAGACTTTTAACTAAATATTAAATATACCCCCCCCCCCCCTCTTCTCTGGAGAAGCAAAAGGAAAAAAAACTACCCCAGAGAACAGGACACACACAACACTTTCATAGTAAACATCATCACATTTCATGTTCTTATGTTCTGTTTAATGAATAGGATGAAATAAATTTTTAAAAGCACTGGCAGCAATACAAGTGACAAACATTCTTTAAATTATGCCTTACACGAAACATCTCTAAAGACAAAAGCAGTTGTACTACGAAACCTTTGATGCATCAATTTCAGATCAAAAATTGAAATTTACAGGCTTTGTTTGCTTACACTAAATACTGCTATGACCTGAATTTTGCACTAGAAAAGTACACGCTATATCAGGATGAAATGTTGATTCTGTTTCAACCCTGCCATTAATCTCCCAAACCAGTTTTAAAAAATAAAAATAAATTTACACATCTGCGTTCAATGTTCTTTCTTCTCTTGAATATATGGTTTGGATCGTCATGCTTAGCCCGACTGGGTGAACCGATCTGTAGAGGGGTGGGGTGTTCTTCAATCGCAATGAAGGGAAATGACAGTATTTTTTAACCATGAAAGAGGGGAGAATGTGTTCTTTCCCAGGATAGTAGTCAGATAAAGTGGTAAAACGACAGATAAGCTGTATCAACAACCACATGAAAACTTGACACATCAAATACAACAATCCCCCCCCCCCCCACCCAAAAAAAAAAATTCTTGTGTAGTGTCAACAGATATTACACATCGAAAATAGGCTTCAAGGTCAAGTAAAACATTTTGCTGTGAAACATCCTCCTATCCCAGTGTTATGCGCGGAAGCTAGCCAAATGACGTTCGCCCAGTCAGGCCTCTGAGTTGAGGGTGTCTACGCTGCATCTAATAGATTCAATTCGTTGCGCTGTTCTTCGAAAAATAAGTTAGTATATTCTCACATTAAGTAATGAGCCATTTCTGATTTTGTGATTATAATCCTATAATGTTACAAGTAGCCTACTTAACTTTATTAAGACAATTTATTGAAGTGACGATCTATATCTGTTTAGGAAAATTATAAAAGTAATAGTAAACTCTTCTCTTTTCTATGTTTAACCCTCAGAGCATTGCAACCAATAATGTTGCAGAAATTATATGGTGTCACCATATTATATTGGAAAATGCTCGAAAACAGGCAAAAAAATAAAGTAAAAGCCAAAAACCTTTAAGAAAGTAGACAGTAGATATAAAAAGTTGAGCTCATTTGTGAAGAAGTTAAAATATTTGGCAACATAAAATAACATGCTAAACTAACCTAAAGAGCAACTCAAATTTCACATACAATCTATAAAAATACCTGCAGAATTAAAGATAATCCTTCTTGGTCATTCTCTTACCAATGCTACCAAATGGAATCAGTACATCTAGAAGTGGAAGCCGTCCCAAACAGAAAAATGTGAGTAGTGTGATCTGAAAACTGCTTTTGTATGATACTATATATCGCAGTAATCTCTAAATTTATTGCATTCCCCAAGACACAAAAACAAATACAATACAATCCAGATTTTTCAATCAGAATTAGAAATGTAACTGCGGTAGGGAGAGGACAGTAACATGTACAGTGATGAAATAGGTAAGTAAGAGTAGAATTAAATGGACAACGCTGTACCTGCATAATTTCTTCTTGGCAGAAGAATAAACAGGGGCACACAAATATGCAACTACTTCATTGATCATCCACTCAGGAAAGTGTTAAAGCAAAAATGCAGCATTGTGGTGTGGACACCATATTCAAAATACTTTCACCTAAAACTAAAATGATCTTTTATTTTCTCTTTCATCCTCTGTTGCCGTTAAGCGTCGAGGGGAGATGCAGTTTTCTATGGTAGGCCAGCTCCACAGCTCTTTCAGATGTGATATTATGTTTTCCCAGGGTTTCCTGAACACCCTTGATCCACCCTTTGCGTGGCCTTCCTCTTCCTTTATAGCCTGAGTGCTTAGTGTTGTATGCTCTCGAGGTGATATACGTAACAGGTGGCCAAACCATTTTATTCTCTGTCTTTCGAGTGTCTTCCAGAGTTTTGCATGGTTTACTCGGTCAAAAGTCTTCTCCTGGTCTATAACGACGATGTTGGATTCTTTGTTGTGTTCGATTGCCTAACATGATCACATATCAATATTCACAAATATTTAATAAAACATTTCACTGAAGATTGGGAAGTGCACAAAAAAAATATAAGAAAATGAAGTTGAATAATTCTTTAAATAAAATAAAAACATCTAAGAGTGGACAGTAAAAAGTGCCACATGTGCAGCATGTAAGCTTCCATGACATAAAAACATGCATGCTGTGCCTTTAACCCAATAGCTGTTAAAGCAGTAGTAAGGACAAACTGTGCTGACATGACTCCTTTCATGCCCTGTACAGCCACAAAGAAGGAATGTTATATATCTGCAGTTCGACAGAGATCTTAAAAAGCATTTTATTTGAAGGGAAACAGCAGAACACTTATTGTGTCTTTTGGTCTCTGGGTTAAATCTTTAAGTTAAAAGCTAATCCATGTACATGGACATATGGACCAATTTTTGTTTCCCTTTTGGGCATTTGGAGATATTGTTATCAAATTTAAACTTGTTCAGTTTTCTTATTTTTTAAAAAGAAAAATATACTCATCCATCTTGAAATCGAGATAATTTGCGACTGAAGGACGTCAAGGTCGCCTGGCATCAAAGGTCAAATTAGTGAAAAAAATTGCTGCCAAAGTTTGGTGATTTCCATAGCTCAAGTATCCTTGAAAACTGCAAATTTACATACATGTGTCACGACGCGGTGGAATCAGGGCTCATCACTTTTTGGGCATTTGGAATTATTGGTACCATCTGAAAGCTGATTTATTTGCCTTGCTTTCAATGAAATAGGTATCATTTATCTTGAAAACAACTCGAGATTTTTTGTGATAGAAGGAAGTGAGGTCGCCTGGTTTCAGTGGCGAAATTAGCGAGAAAATGGCCACAAAGTTTGGTAACTCCAATTTGTGCCTTTAGTCAATGCATTTCAGTAAAATTCACATGGAAATGTGTTTTTATATGGACATAAAAGAGGTTGAACCAAAAATATAAAATAGACAAAAATGTCCAAACTGGCAGAAAAATGCTTTTTTTCTCCTATTTCTGTATTTTGACGAGCGCCTGATTTCATAACACTGCCTCACATATTCTGTGCCTTTGATCAAAGTTTATCAGTAAAATTCACACACAAATGTGTTTTTAAATGGAACTAAAAGGCATTGAGCAAAATGTTTTTACAATTTGATAAAAATTGTCCAACCAGAGGAAAATATCTCTTGCTTCTATTTCATTATTACAACAAGAGACTGATTTCACTATGCCAGGCACAAAAATAATGAATTCCAATCTTCAATTTGCCTTGATGACAATCACTTTTGCTTGCAGAAAATCATTACTGTCACTGTGGTAATTTCTCTCTTAGATCAAATTATTCATGTTTAACAATAAGTAAAAATGATTCGTTTGTGACTGAAAAAACCCCCACCACAGCAAACTCCATCTGACCAGTGCATAGCATATTTTACCCCCCTTTCATTTCTCTATGGACAACTTTGAAAAACTTCACCCACACATAGTCAGGTTGCACATGCTTAACCCTCCAAGCATTGTTAACAATGGTGTCACAGAAATTATATGATATCACCATATTATGTTGGAAAACGCTTGAAAACAGATAAAGGAAAGAAACTACTCTTCATATTACATTACACAGTACAGTCAATCCCCAATATAAATCACCCCCCCCCCCCCCCCCAAAGCTTTTGTCGATGTATGAAACGAAATCTCTTTAAACAAACCTACACATGACTTGTGCACTTCCTCAACAACAGAGATCACACTTTCTGCTCCCACCCCCTCTGCCCCCTCCTCTGGGCTCCTGACTCTTTCTGCAGCATTTCTACTGCTACTCCTTAGCTCCTTCTTACTGCTGTCTTTCAAACACACCCCAAACACCCCCCCGCTCTTCTGGTAAGAAAGACAAGTTGCACATGTTAAAGATCTCTTGGTGGTCTAAAATTGATAAGAGTAGGCTTCAGCTGCCATGCAGGGAAAATTTCAAAATTTCTGAATGACCTTGTGCAGTTGCGAGCACCATAAAACACTTAACAACAACAAAAATAAAATAAAAAAATAAAAGAAGAGATCACACTCGAAGCCTTCTGTAAGGTTAGACCTAGGTGAAACTGCAGCAGATGAGTCGACATGGGAGAGAAAAATAAAAGTGGAAAGGCTTATCAATCAAGGAAACAATATCACAAACCAAAATTTGCTAAACTAGGCATGAGGGCATCATTCAAGTAAAATTTACACCCAGCTGTCCAACTTTGTTATCTCCCTTGACATACCCTATACAGAGTGAAATTTGTACCAAAAAAACACCCAAAATCCAACAATTTCCATGTCCTGCTGATTTAGGGCAGGCATTTAGAGCCTGTTATACCTCCAGCCATACAATATTGCCAACTTCATAGTTGTCTCAAGGTCATACTTCAATATGTTTTTAAAAAATCAGGACAAATGTAGCCAGCATTGCTTAGTCTACTCTGCATAAGTGCTATTGGGGTATAGGAACAGACATCATTATGATGTGAAAAAAAAGTGGGTAGATGATGTAATGACAACAATTCATCATTGAAAGTTACATGCCATGCAAATGCATTAGTACAAAGAATGCAGGAGCATGATATGTGACTTGAAATGATGAAATGTAATGGCAATGAGAGAAGGAGAGCAGCAACACACAATGGGCTCACTGAGCCTGAATGGGCGGGGCCAAGCGCGAAATGAAGCCGATAGACGAAAAGCAGAGGTTCCTCACAAACTGGGGGCATTGGGGCTTGGAGCACAGGAACTCCACCGCCTGGCGGAACTCGCTGAACAGAGTCCTGTGGAAAAACAAAGATGATACATCATATGAGTGAGATATTATGTAAGTGAAATACAGTATGATTGTAAGTTTTAATTTTAGTAGAGGTATTACGGCGCTTGCAACTGCATAAGGTAAAATGAGCGCCAAGGGGTGGATGTCAACAGAGAAGTCCTTACAGGTAATCAGACTTACTCAGCTCACCTCTCTAGCTTCAGCAGCACATAGTCTGCTTCGACTATCAAGGCACCCTGGAAATAGCAGGTCACAAGAATGTGACAAACATACAAAAGAAGTTGAGGAAAATGACGATAGTAAGGATTAGGAAAGAAAAAGCAGCAGTTCGCTGTTGTAGTTTAGGCACAGTTATGAGCATGACATTGTCAGATCAGCCCATATACAATTTTACAGTGCACTAGAACGAGAAATGTCCCCCCTTTGGGAATGGCCTAAAGATACTTAAGTCAGTGGCACCGCCCTGGGGGGGGGGGGGGGGGGGGGGGTATGCTTGTAAAGAAAAACAAATCGACACAACATGGTCAGTCATTTAGAGCCTGAAAAAAAGACAGACAGACACAACAGAGGGAAAAATAGGAAGTAGGACCTACGTGTGGTGGCACCCCCTCAACCACCTGTGAAATTTAGAACATCAAGTCAGATTAATGCATGAGTCATGTGGCACATCATTTTTGAAGAGTGTGCTACATCATGTCAGATAAATATGGTACATTGTATCAGATATAGATGATATATCATTATATTGTAGTGACTCTCCAAACACTCAGTTAACTCACAACACAGCAGCTGACATGATCATGACTTCGCACGGACTTGCGAAGTGCTCACACGAAAAACACCACCTGACACGACTGTCCTACACGGCAGTCGAGTAGAAAACTCCGGTGAGTAAAGACCTACCACATTGGTGACCCCGACAAGTTGAAACGCAATTTCAACTTTGTGTGTTCTGTTTTGGATTATATTTTGAATCATATTTGAGCGAACTTGTGTTTTCGTCACAACCCTTACCATCCCTTCAAAATGTGTGAACAGGATTGTCAAGTAAGTGCAGTTTCCATTAAACTACCAACATTTTGGACAGCCGGGCCGGAAGCTTGGTTCGCCCAAACTGAAGCACAATTCGCTTTGCGAAATATTACTCAAGACGAAACTAAATGATCATGTTGTCGCCGCCCTCGACAACAGCACAGCAACTCGGGCACTTTCAATATTAACCAACCCACCAGAAGGCAACAAATACAGCACGTTGAAAACATTTTTGTTGTCGGCATATAGTTCGTCAGATACGGAAAGAGCATCAGCGCTCTTTAAACTACAGGGGTTAGGAGATCGTAAGCCGTCAGAATTAATGGACTCCATGTTAGCCCTACTGGGAGCGCACGAACCGTGCTTCCTTTTCAGACACTTATTCCTTCAACAGTTGCCTGAATACGTGAGAGCCCCCCGGCAACATTCGACCATCTCGACTGCCGCACGTTAGCACAAGAGGCCGACAAATTATTCCTTGCCGTTGCTCCACCCGCGACACTACTGGCTGTAGATCGCACAACGGCAGCTAGCAAGCCCAGACCTTGCCACTCGACAGGTCTATGCTTTTACCACCACAGATTCGGACCAAACGCCAAAAAATGCGTTCCGCCATGCAGTTACAAAGCCTCCAAAAAAGCATCTGCGGTTCAGGGAAACGAGTAGGTGGGCCAGCAGAATTCAGTCTTGCTTCAGAACCTTCTGTTGGCCCACAAAAAGCTCAATTGATTATCATGGACTCTGTCTCTGGCCGCCGTTACATAATCGATACGGGAGCCCAAGTTTCGGTTCTTCCTGCAACATGGCGGGAAAAACAGGCGAACACTTCAGGCTCTCCACTTTTAGCCGCAAATGGTAGCAAAATCAATACATATGGAGCGCTCAACACCACCATTCGTTTCCAAAACAATGCTTTCGACGCCAGGCTTGTCATCGCCGATGTAAAGTGGGCCCTACTTGGTGCTGACTTTCTTCGCCGCCACAACCTACTGGTAGACATTCGTGGTCAGAAACTGATAGAGGCTCAATCTTTCAAAGTATACCCATGTACTATCAGTCAGATTTCAGATTCTCAGCTAGCCATAGTGGACCCAGAAAGCAACAAATTTAGGAAGATATTAACAGAGTTTCCTGAAATCCTCGAGCCAACCTTTTCGGCCTCCGAAGTGAAGCACGGTGTTTCCCATTTCATCCCAACCACTGGTCCACCCGTACATGCCAAAGCACGTCGACTACCCCCCGACAAACTAGCCATCGCCAAAGCTGAATTCCTGAAAATGGTCTTCACCTCTTCACATGGTTCCGAAAGGTAATGGAGACTGGCGACCTTGTGGCGACTACCGTGGACTCAACAATAGAACTACCCCAGATCGTTATCCGATTCCCCACATTCAAGACTTCTCAGCACGACTCGCTGGCAAAAGTATTTTCTCCAAAATCGACCTCGTTCGAGGTTACCACCAAATCCCAGTTGCGCAGGAGGACATTCCGAAAACTGCCGTCATCACACCATTCGGCCTATATGAATTTCTACAGATGCCATTCGGCCTTAGAAACGCCACCCAGGCATTCCAGCGTCTTATGGACTCCGTCCTGCAGGACATTTCGTGCGCATTCATCTATCTGGATGATATACTCATTGCCAGCTCATCAGCAGCTCAACATGTTAAAGATCTACGGCAAGTTTGCAAAAGACTCGAAGAAGCGGGCCTAGTTGTTAGGTTAGAAAAATGCGTGTTTGGAGTGACCAAAATCGAATTTCTAAGCCATCGAGTCACACGAGATGGATCTACCCCACTCCCTTCTAAAGTCAAAGCTATAGAAGAATTCCCGCTGCTAAACACCCACAAAGCACTCCAAGAATTTCTGGGAATGCTAAACTTCTACCATCGCTTTCTGCCTCGAGATGCCTCAGTACTACGCCCTCTCTACGAAGCTCTGAAGGGAGTAAAGAAGAAAACAAAACTTTGCTGGACGGAACAGATGACTACAGCCTTCCAGGCCAGCAAACACATGCTTGCCGACTGCACTCTCCTCTCTCATCCCAGAACAAACGTTCCCATCGCCTTAACCACCGACGCGTCAGATCACGCAGTTGGCGCTATCTTCGAACAATTTGTCGATGAGGCCTGGCAACGGTACAGCACATATGATCGGGAGTTATTAGGACTCTATCTTGCCGTTCGTCACTTCCGATTTTTGCTTGAGGGTATCTTGCCGTTCGTCACTTCCGATTTTTGCTTGAGGGTAGGTGCTTCACAGCATTCACCGATCATAAACCTCTGGTGGACGCTATGTCCAAGTTATCCCCACCCTGGTCAGTCAATTCGCCAGCAACGTCACCTGACATTCATCTCAGAATTTACCACGGACATACGGCACATTTCAGGGAAGGAGAACCATGTTGCAGACTGTTTGTCCCGAGCCACTTTCCAGACCACATTAGGACTGGACTACAAAGCAATGGCTGAAGCTCAATGCACTGACACCTCTTCTCCAGACGACAGCGCCTCTTCATCAGGATTGCACACAGTTTCAATGGCTATCGAATCTGGAGGACCAGAACTGCTGTGTGACATTTCGACCGGACATCCTAGACCAATTGTACCTCCAGCATTTCGTCGACAGGTCTTCGATTTGTTTCATAGCCTCTCCCACCCAGGAAGGAAGGCTACAGTCCGCCTGATATCCCAGAGATTTGTTTGGCATGGGCTAAGGAAAGAAGTCAGCAAGTGGGCCAAGGAATGTACGGACTGCCAAGCTTCCAAAGTGCAAAAGCATACTAAGGCACCCATCGAGAAGATTTCCGTGCCTGAAAAGAGGTTCAGTCACGTTCATGTCGATCTTGTAGGTCCTTTACCCCCATCGCAGGGCTTCACTCACCTCTTCACAATCATCGACAGAACATCACGATGGCCAGAGGCTATCCCACTCAAGGACACCTCAACAACAGAATGAGGCCGTGCGCTGATCAATCACTGGATCGCCCGTTTTGGCATCCCTGTTGACATCACATCTGACAGAGGCCCTCAGTTTACTTCTGCCTTGTGGAGAGAGATGGCCGAGCGCCTTGGTACCAATCTTCATCATACAACAGCCTATCACCCTCAATCCAATGGATTGATTGAGCGATTCCACCGGTCCCTTAAGAGTGCTCTCAAAGCAAGACTCCAAGGCCCGAACTGGCTCGATGAACTGGGATGGGTACTGCTCGGTTTGAGGACTGCCCCAAAAGAGGACCTGGGAACTTCTGTCGCTGAGCTATTTTATGGAGAACCACTCAGAGTACCGGGAGAATTTTTTACCAGTGACACTTCACCATTCGACCAGTCACGGAGCCTCGCCAACTTACGATCCCAAATGCAGTCACAACTAGCCAAGGCGACATCACTGCACTGTGCACCTACCTCCAACACCCACTCGTCACTAGACACAGCCAAGTTCGTGTTCATCCGCTGCGACGCTCACCAAAAATCCCTACAACGCCCGTATACTGGTCCGTACAAGGTTTTAGAAACCTTTCTTGTCGATCTAGGTGGTCACGCGGAACACATCTCTGTCGACCGACTTAAACCAGCTTTTGTGGATCTGTCGCAACCAGTACGCGTTGCTCAGGCTCCAAGACATGGGCGACCTCCGTCTTCGTCGCTTGTGAATCCAAGCGCAAATACTAACAATTCAACCTAGCCTACCCAAGCTGTACAATCCGCTCCTATTACTCTACAGGAACCACAACAAGCAGGCTGGAAGGTCTTACGTTCAGGACGTATCGTGAGACCACCTCTCCGGTTCTAGAACCTCCTGTCATGTCAGCGCTGGTGGGGGGCCATGTAGTGACTCTCCGAACACTCAATTAACCCACAACACAGCAGCTGACATGATTATGATTTCGCACCGACTTGCGAAGTGCTCACACGAAAAACACCACCTGACACGACTGTCCTACACGGCAGTCGAGTAGAAAACTCCGGTGAGTAAAGACCTACCACAATATCATGTTGGATAAATATAGTACATCATGTCTAGTGTAATTAAAACAAGAAAAGAATGCCTTTTTGAGAAAAAGTAAACAGTGATGATGCATATCCCATGAGAAGGAAAAAAGTTTTTAGAAGGATGTTACTCATGGGAGAAAGTTCAAAGACAAAAAAACCCTGAAGAGGTAAGAAGAGAATTTGAAAAAAACCTGAAAGTCATTGTGCAGAAACGTAAGATGGCAAAGACAACAAAGCGTGCTCATATGACCTTAGCAGTTGCGAGCGCCGTAAAACCTTATACTATACTATACTAAAGACAACAAAATACACACTAAAAACAAGTTTTAGCATTTTCATGGTCCAAGAGCGGATGTTTGTTTTTTTCAGGACTACGGTCCTGCTTCAAGATCATTGTTTTGCATGTTGCGTTATGAGTCGGTCCGAGTCTAAAAAAGCAACAGACCAAGGTCTGGTGAGGGGGGGGTACCGTGGCCCAGAGGTTAAGGTGTTCACCTCTCATTCAAAGGTCCTGAGTTTGAAACCGGGTAGCGGCCGAAAAATGTTCTTCTCTAAAATTGTCTCCTTTCACCTCCTTTCCTGCTCTCCAACAATATTTTGTCGTCTTCATTCATCTCCACTTTCAGCCCCCACCCCCTCACCTCCTTTGCCCCCTCCTCTGGGCTCCCGACTTTTTCTGCAGCCTTACTACTGCTACTCCTTGGCTCCCTCTTACTGCTGTCTTTCAGCCACACCCCAGATCTTCTGGTAGGAAAGATCTCCACCTAGCCTTCTCAGACAACGGTGAAAAATCTCGGAGGTCCCATGTGCAAGTTGTGCATGTCAAAGAACCCTTGGTGGTCTAAAATCGATAGGAGTAGGCTTCGGCCACCACCCGAGCAAAATTCAAAATTTCCTACCAACTGAAAAAGTATAATGTGTCTTACGCACTCATATGACCTTATGCAGTTGTGAGCGCCGTAAAACACTGTTGAGGTTAAAAAACCTGCGGGGCCGACATATGCTGGAAAACTTTTACCCAGGATGTTACTACTCACAATTGCAAAATTGGTAATAGAGTTAATCACAGATGTCCGAAACAATAAATGTCAAAGGAGAATAAAACTGAAACAGAAGTGAAGCAAAACATAGTTCTTTTTACATTTTTCCATGGTCATTCCACAGGCAAAAAGATTGCTGAGCCCTATTTTCGGAACAAAATCGCCAAGTCCATCCCCTTAAGGGGTACAGGATCTGTACCAGCAAACCGATCACTGGTCCCGTATCAGTATTGGGAACCATAGTCAGTGAGTTAATGAATTACAATGTACTCACCTGTTGTAAGGATTCCTTCGGGAGGAGTAACGTAGTGTCAGGAAGCGGTAGTAAAGGAATGGCAGGAAAAAGCTGGCCTTACCACTGAGGATGGAAACAAAACAATTTCCCGTAACTAAGACACTTGACAACAACCAATGAAGAAAGGTAAGCATACAAAATTCTTCATCTGCTTTAAACTGAATAGATAAAGGAAAAAATATAAGAGGCCTCATTCAAAACTTACCGAGAAAGTAATATGAAAAAGAAAACAAAAGATAAAATGAAAAATAGGAAAAAAAAAAAGAATGAAAAAATCTCAAACATGGGTGTTTTTATGCCATCAACATGATTTAGATAATTTATGAGGTAGGATTCCAACCTGCCTGTCAGGATCAACCTGGGTTGTCAAGGATTCAATATCCCAGCAGAAAGACTGAGCTACTCCATAAAAATTCTCCCCACATGGGAGTCCAACTCCAGTCTCCTACATGCAACAGAGAAGTACCTAGCCGTGACACCACAGACACCGGTGAAAGAAATTAGATCCTATTAAATCCAAGTTCCCTCCAACTATTAGCTGGGGGAAAAAATCTAAAATATCACATAATCAGGATAAAAATAAAACTGATAACCTGTACATACTGTAAATAGGTGTCGCAAGCCCCCGCCTCGGGCCGATAGAAAACCGGTCGGGTGAAAGCGAAGCTCTCTACAAACCCTAATTTCCTCGATAAAAATAATAAAAATCTCAGCTCATAGAAGTCCTATTGAGATAGTTGAAACGGCATTAAAAGCATCAATGTTTTATCTCTATGTCTGTGTCTGTTTTGTTTGTCTATGTAAACATTTAGTCTTTTGTTGATCGGATTATTTGTAGTGACGAAAGGCAACTTTTCCGTTCGTGCTCGCGCGCCTCGGGCGCGATCGCTGTTCTCGGGCCTTCGACCCGTCTCATGTTTGTTCCGATTGCTTCGCTGTACTGTGAAAGGTCGTACAAAAATAAAAATGACATCATTAGAAAGGGGAAGAATTCCTCTTTCTAGAAATCCCAGCTATCCCAGTGTGCCTTTGAATAATGGCGTCGTAAACACTGGATTTGTGATGTTCGGGAGATAATTTTCTGAAAAATCGAGTGGTGGATGTGGAAATGGTCAGTCAACTCAGCCTACGTCAACGGGGACTGTGCTCGGCTGCATAGCCGGACAAGGACGGCGGCGTTGAGGGGAACGGAACGTTGCTGACTTAGAAAAATATACGGACAATTAGCCACAGCTCCACTTGCTTATATCCAGTGTCAAGGGATGGGGCAGGGTCTAGGCAACTGAGAAAGCGAAGGGCAGGGTGGTATTTTTTGTTTTGTTTAGTTTTCATACACCTTTATTATACATCTGAAACATTTATATTTGTTGCTATTGTAGCTGTACTTAGAAGTTCAAACATGCAAGAAATCCTAGCAAAGTTTACTGCTTTAAATTGATAGTTCTTCTCTAAAGTCTAAAGATATAATACTTTATGTTACTTTTACTACCGGTATGTCTATACTACAATCATGATGTAACTTGGGCGCAATTCACATGACAAATTATTGTTCGCTATAATTAATAATATTATAGGCTATTGATATTGCCATGTTGGGATAGTGGGGGGGGGGGGGGGGATTATAAATTTATACCACAGCACAATGCTCATTCATAGCTTGGCATACTATGTTGCCGTCTCATTTTGTGTTGATGAGGAACTTTAAACTGGCACTCAAAACTCAAACTCGTTTACACTGCATTTCCCCCCCACAGAGGATGAAGTTTTTCAAGGACTGAAGAGGCACGTGTTCATGCGAGGGAAGGGAAGGCGTCCAGACTTGCCAGAAGTGAAGACAGTGACTACAAGCTGCTGTTGCAGCTATTGTTCTTGAAACAAGACATGGAAAATAATGGAATAGCCTACAGTTTCAGAGAGGTGAGCACCTGTTTGTTTTGACTTCAAACACAACTTGATAGTGGATGGCTGGTGGGCGCTCTGGTGTGGTCTGTTCTTTCTACTTCTTTGTTTTTGTGTTACTATTGTTCTAATCTGCTATGCTGCCCGGCACTGAAATTACCAAATAGTGTCGATAGTGCCATAAAATCACTATAGTAACAAAGGATTTTGTCGCAATTTCATACTTGTACACAGATGTGTAGTAATATTATTTTTTATCCTCCTGTAGATGAAATAGAAAGGTGGGCAATCTCTTTATACCAAATAGATTATTACGTTTGTACAACTGTTAGATAAGAAGAAGGAAAGGCTCCCGTGCTTGAGCCGCCTCTTCGGGCCTGGAATTTTCAATGTGGAGAGGAATGTCCTTTCTCAGAGAGATGTAATGTCGGTGCTTGTCTCTTAAATGACCTTATTAACTATTTGTGTTGAAGAGGGAAGTCAAACTCGAAGTAATATGTATGACTGTTTCACTTTTTTCTTTTTTTATATAATTTTTTTACCAGGACATTTGTTGCTCTCTGGCTAATGTCTATAACTCTCCTCTTTCTCTTCTACTTCTATGTTTTCACAGCTAAAGTCCTTACTTGAGAGGCTAGTTCCACACACGTGTCATGTGACGGAAGGCAAGGTCACCTACCAGATGACATCAACTCTGAAAGAGTCCTTAAAGAAACGGAGTGACAGGGTAATAGAGTTCCTTACACAGGAGTACGATTTCTTGCGTCTGCCTGACCGGCTGAATTCTCTTAGTGTCACTCGACTTCACTTACAGAATGTTGAGAATTATTTGTCCCCACCATCCAGTTGCATTCCTATTTCTGTTGCCATTGCCTTAGAAAATCGATGTATGTGTACCAGAAGAATCAATAAGATGGACCTTGTTTCATTGATCAATATATTGCATTCATGCATGTTCTCTGTCTGTCTTGTCTTGTCAAAACTTGACTTCTATTGCAGTTCTGTTATGTCTGGTATCTTGTGTGAGAGACTGAAGAAATTGCAAGTGACCCAAAATAACACGTGATCAGTGATATGTTTTATTTTCACTGCTGTCCTAAGGATGCATTATTTTAATGTATGGTTGAGAAAGTTCTTCTTTGCCTGCTTGAACTGGTTTTCATGTGTGAAAGTGAAATGTTTTACCTTATGTGAATGAAGTATTATTATGCTTAGTGATCATTTATCGATGTAGAGCACTCAGAGCTTATACTCTATGGGATGGAGCCCCTTTATAAATTATTATTATTATATTAATGCTTTCTATGAATGGAATGTTTGTGGTAGTAATAAATTTAATGGCCCTATGAAAAAACTAATGCCAGAAATGAATTCTTTGGACAAAATTACATAAGTACACAAAGTTTTAGCTTTCTATCTCTATTCGTTACATTTTTATATTAAAAACTGATATTTCTATTGAAAATTCAGACGATTTTTACTTGTTCGCCAAAAATGAAAATTTTTGGAATTTGAAACTCCTCTAACTTTGTTATTTATTGTCTGTGTGCTATGAAAAAAATTTGAGAGTAGTCTTTGTGTACTCTTTAATGGTGTGAATGCCGGAAATCTGCTCTTCGTAATAAAAAGGCTTTATTAGAGTGAATTTTTTGTAATTTTTCTCAAATCTGTTTGTTTGCTGTGTAAAAAGTTTGTGGTCTGTTTCACTGATTCAAATGTTAATGGAATTTGCAAAACAAGTGTTACAAGAGTAATATATAGATTTGCCAACGACTTACTGTCCTTGAAAGTGTGGCAAAGATCCTGGTGTTGTAATGTCGATGAAATTTTAAAAGTCCAACACAGCTTTGAAAAATCATTAAAAATCTATTTTTCATCTGATTTTGATGATTTAAAAAGCATTTTTCATCATTTGTTGAGTGGAATCCATCTGTCAAAACACATACAAGATTCATTGGGTTTGAAAAAATGGCTTGCCACACCTACTGTAAATGAAAAAACCCAATATATTTCTTCACATGCTACAAAATACAGCTTGTAAAAACTCACCTAAAGACAAGGATGACAATAGCAGGCATGAGGAAGATCTCTGTACTGGCAATAAAGCGAAGGATGTTGACCTGCTGGGCCTCAAGTTTCATCACTGCATTCCTCACAAACATCATGGACTGTGGGCCCATTAACTAGAAAAACAAATAACATTAAAAAAATCTTCACTCATGTCAGTCTGACGATGAAACACAAAAAGTATAAATTATTTATCTTAGGAGAGAAAAAAAAATAAAGAGGCCTCAGCATGCATTTCTCTGTTGCTCATTAAACAGACCTCTAATTTTCCATTTCATGATTTTTGTGTATTTAATTTCTTTCATCCAAGGAGAAGAATAATCTCAAATCAGATATCACAGTTTAAAATAAAAATAATAATATTGACAAAAAAAGTAATAAAGAAAATCTTTTATGCTAGGAAGTGTCTACGTACTCCCCGATTGGGGACTACGTAGTCATGGTGTCTAGGTGGACCCCAAAATGTTGGACTGTGATTGGCTCGCTGAGCGAGCGGTAGTTTACATTGATTACAACAAAGCAACAAAGATACTACACCCTACGGTAGGCTGTACTATCTTTGGTTACAATGCAAGGCTACTGATCATCTCGGGCGGTGTGTCGATCTAGTGTTACTATAATTTATTTATTTTAGCCCAGAGAGAGAGAGTATTTAAAGAATAAACGTATCTAGATCTAGAATCTAGATCTAATCTAGATGTCTAGATCTAGAATCTAAATCTAGACCGAACTGCACCCTCTTGGCTGGGTGTACAACAAAATCTAGATCAAGATCTAGATACGTTTATTCATTAAATACTCTCTCTTTCTCTCTCTCTCTCTCTTGTCTAAAATAAATTAATTATAGTAATACAAGATAGACATACTACCCGAGATGATCAGTAAGTAGCCTTGCATTGTAACCAATGTAAACTACCGCTCGCTCCGTGAGCCAATCACAATCCAACATTTTTGGGGTCCACCTAGACACAATGACTACGTAGACCCCAATCGGGGAGTACGTAGACACTTCCTTTATGCTATGCATTTCCATCTTTAAAAAAATGCTCAATGCATATTATATTCAAAGAGATATATCACATTTCAAAATTACTTCACAGGATAATACCAAGTATTAACATGTACAGAAAAATTTCTATGAAAACATTTGTCTCGCCGCGAGCCTAACAATGATTAAGCGTAAACTAAAAAATGTAGAAGAGGCCTACAATAAAAACCCACTCATAGCCCCAATACCACTACTGGAATTACTACTATAAATAGAGCAACATTTGTGCTTGCTCTTCCCCTTCACTCCCTATTTCTTCAGTCTCACATCGTCCGGATACAACATACACAGGGGAAGCATTCAGTCATCTTTTAAAAAGGCCACCCTCGTACAGTGGAACTCGGATTCAGCGAGGTCGCCAACCCTGACCTAAAATCTCGTTGAATATAACGTGTTCGTTATAGCAAACACGAGGTTTTGTGGGGATAATTACAGGCACTCAGCAAGTAATGTATCAAGTGAAGTCACAAGTAGTGCCTGAAATGCCTGCATATTTTGAGCTGTGTAAAAAAAAGACCGATTCGTTCAAATGCACACGCCTGTGGCATCTCGATTGTTTACCAAAAAGTTGTGTTGCTGTGTAGAGCCTAGCATACGGCAACTTTTGATTCCATAGACCAGCGCACAATTCATTACGAAGATCTACGTCAAGACTAGCTTATCATTGTAATAATGATCAGTTGCCGAGGGGAAAAAAAGACTGACGCGTTCGTATCTGCGACGTTCAATGCCCGTACCGCTAGTGCGCCCCCTCCCCCCGACACGCACACACAGTCACACATGTTCCTGCCACCCATCTGACCCGGACACACGCCAGAGTAGACACGAGCGCGAGCCAACAGGGCATGTGGTTGTATGAAAAAAGACTGCTGATTGGTCGCATGCAATCGGCTAATTGAATAATGGTTCATGATGCAGGTGCAATGGATAATTTCCAGAAACAGATAAAGTTCGTTCTGGAAGAAAATAAGCACGTTTGCGGGGACTGTTCACCCTGGAAGTGACCTCGTTGAATCCGGGTCATTTTTATTGCTTTTTAAGAAGAAAAAAAAACGGGGAATCTATCTCATCTCGTTGTATCCCAGTTCTCATTAAATCCGAGCTTGTTGAATCCGAGTTCCCACACTGTATCATTTACTAGTCTCTGAATCTAGAAACCTAGCATAAAGGAAAGCAAACAATATCATTTTACTCACATTGAGAACAGTCTTTGTGAAGGAGCAGGCATGTAGCAAAGCAAACAGAAAGATAGGAATGAGAGACACTGATTTACGTTAAGGAAATGGCACTTTACAGCAGTTCAAACGAAGTTAAATATTAAACCATGCATGGTCTATGCCACTAAAAATCTTGAGCCAATTTTTATCAAAGCAATAATTACTCTTTTGTCTTCAAGGGTACAGTACAGTGACAAAAACACTATGTATGCTTCAAAACATCGGTAAAAACAACAGAACCAGACAGGCACAATTTTGCCTGACCAACATCTCACTGCATCTATAAAGAAAAATAAGGACAATGACAAAACAAGTCACAGTTGTACACTAGTCACAAGGCTCAAATCAAAGAAATCATGAAGAAACATAATTGTTATCATACCACTCCAAACTTTTTAAGGATAATTTTATGGTGTAACTATTTAAGTTTCTAAAAAACATTATTATTCACGTTTTCAGTATTTCAAAAAAAGGGGGGGGGGGGGAAAGACCATTACTCTGTACCCCACCAACATTGACGCTTTTAAACTTCTTTCCACAAAAAGTTTTACCCAATGATAGTCTATAGAACTGATATAATTACGTTGTTTTTTTTAGACTCCATCAAAAAAGTTCTACAAGATCAGATTAGAAAATTTATTAAATAAAGGTTAAATTTCAAACGCACTTTGAACAAAAAAAAAGTACTGACTAACTGTTTCACTACTTCATCATCATCATCAGCCTGTGTCACCTTGTGCTGGAATATTGGCCATAAACAAGGGTTCTCCATGTACAGTTGTACCTGTCCATGGCAGAATTGCACAGGAGGCATCCTGGATAAGGGAATTTAGGGGAGGGAGCACGGAATCAAGGGTTGTCTGTCCGGTCATCTCGCCTTCACATCTCCCAAGTGCAAACGTAGCCCCTCTGATAATGGCATGCGTCAGTCTTATAATTAATTCATTTCAATTTGCGACCTGCACTTGCATCTCATAGGACCACTAGGTTAAAAAACGATTGAACTCTTCCTTTGTCTCTATCCTCAGCCCCACTCATTGATGCAATAAGCACAATCAACCAATGCTGCCACTCCCCTGCATGTAACAAAGATTCAAGGAACTCTTTTTTGGTTAGCCAAAAACCGCCAGAGGAGCAGACTAGGGTCAAATTCATTTCACACCTTTAGCTACCAAGGAAAGTTCTTAACTCTTGCACTTTCACAAGCAGAGGTGAGATTTCACATTAACACCACCCCGACCATCTGCACAGTTCAGGGCTTACATGTATAGGGTGACAGCCACCCCCAATCCACACCCTTCCCCCTTTCCTTGTTTGGCAGTATGACGCAAAAGTAAGAGCTTATGGAATCCAAACTTGGGAGTTAGGGGCTGAACGGGAAAAGCATTTTCTGACTTAGGTCGAAGCCCACCAAAGGGAAGGGATTCGGGTTGAGCAGGTCTCTGTCTTAAATATATTTTAGAGGAATTTATCAGGGGGGGGGGCAAGGAGATACTGTTATGATAGGTTTCCATTAAGGAAAGTTCGACTGTACTTCTGTCCTGGGCTATAGCCTCTGCCCAGCTTTATCACATCTTTTTTAGGTCCTAATTTAAGTCCCTCCTCCAAGTACTTTTAGGCCATCCTTTCTTTCTACTTTCTTGTGGATTCCATCCTATTTCAGTAGAATGGTCAGGTGATATCCACATTGCTTTGAGGATCCTGCTGTGGGGTTGAATGGGTCTCCAAATCACAAGGTTGTTCATTGCATGCAGGTTCTTGAATCTTTGTAACACTGATGTCCTTGCTTTCCCACCACATCATCAAATCAGATTTTCATCCCAGCTCTGCAATGCGTACCTCCCATTAGGGTTTTGACATGTTAAGCAGGGTATTGATTCAGAATACATTGAAGCTGATCGCTGATTGTAGAAGTGGTCTTAACTTACTCCCTCTTTCATTTGTGGGTGAATGTCGTTCTTATTGATTCCTTTGTTCCTTATTGTCTTGAATGATCATTTGATACGTCTAGGTCCATGTCCTTCCCGTGAAAACTGGGCTTTTCCAGTTGGTGCAGATGACACGGATGCCACTCCACCTTGAGTGTGTTACACTGATGTCCATATGTCCAGGCTACAGAATAACTTCCTCTGGGGAAAAATCTGCATTGCTAAGACTGGTTCCATCTTGTGTCACTTTGTTTTAAAATATCAATTCTGTATCTTTTCTTTACTGCAGCTACATAAAATGCTTTACCCATTTCATACATCCATGTTCAGATTCCTGTCAATAGTTAATAAATCTGGTTGGTGGATTCTAAATGCATTTCTGTTTTCACCACCATGCTTAATATGTTGGCATCTCCCAAGACGTTACATAAAATTTTTTTGTTTTTGGCATTCTTGTAGCAGGGATGCTGTTTCATGGGACAGGACTGCTACTAAGAAGCTCAACTCCTTATCTAGTGGACCAGTTAACTTATGTTGGGAGCCACACCTTGGGGTTGCCTCTAAAAGAAATAAGTATGACAAACAACCGAAGACAGGTGTGCATGGCTATTAACAATTCCATGTCTTAAAAAAAGGGAGCTCACAAGACTCACGGGCTTACTTACCCAGCACACATTCAATTCTTCGACTATTTAATTTCAATTTCAAAATTTCTTCTCCTTAATATCAAACAGGTGAGGTGTACAAAGCTTTTATTTTATTCTAAAATCTCAGCATACTTGAATTTTGTAATCCCCTTTTCTCACAAGGGAAAGCAGCATTTTGGAGAAGATGTTGTTGTTAGCGATCCAATAGCATCTGAGCGTTAACTCTTCTGCATGATGCCATTCTGTAATAGCTGCATATCTGTTGTAATTGTTGTCTTGAGGAGTAGAGGCAGTTAGACGACATTATGTTTTAAATCAGCAAAGGTGAGAAAGGCAAAAAGAATTTGTGGGAAGTCAAATTCAAAGAGGCATCAATTTGATGATACATGCAATGTAACAGCAAAACCCACTTCTGACAAAGAATTTAATGCCAATGAAGTCCCAAGTGCTTTGACAGCAAACTAAGGGAATGAAAAGGATACTGGTCATGGGGTACGAGTTGAGGAAGATAATGCAGTACATGAGGTAGTGGCTCGAGTCCTCCGAGAAAAGGCGTCTCACAAAGTCCATGTTGAGCTGGACATTGGGCAGTCGTTGATGCATGCGTAGTGCACTAGTGGCAGCTGCTGAGATGAGGGCACGTTGATAGAAGCTGTATGGATTGCCTCTGCGAGATGGAAGGAAAAACATAGAGATAAAAATTACAATAACAAACATGTGAAGATTTTTTTGCATTCCGCTGCTAGATCTCAAGGGTTGTCGACAGCTGGTTCTTCAACCTGCAGTCAGTACAACTCATTTTTAACTATGTGACTGCTTTCCCTACTTCATATAGCCCCTTGCCTTCAGGCAGCCACATTCCGATTCTGAGAGTACTGTATATGTTTCTTATACTGAATTGACTAGGGTACTTTCAGTTTTGGTAGGAATTTATTTTGAATTTTGAGCGGGAGGCGGCTGAAGCCTACCAATACCTGCCAACATTGCCTGGGGCCAAAATCTGTAGTTGGCACAAATTTTTGTCCCAAAATCTGTAGTTGACCTAAAAAATCTGTAGTAGGCTATATTACCACTTGCCGTATACTTAATTGGGGACCCTTATCAATATTTTGACCAACATCAAATATGCATGAATGTGTTTGCGACTTCAAACAAATGTAAAAAATGACCAGAAAAAAAAGAAAAAAAAGAGAAAAATATGAAAACTTCCAGATGCATTTATCCTATATAGCCGTTCCTGTCCTATTCATACATCCACGCGTACACACAAATGGAAGGGGAAAAAAAGAACAGAAGCAAAGAAGAAAAGATGAAGAAAAGGGGGACCTTGGATGAGTTGGGCCTAGCCTTGGCCCTTTGCCGTTGCAGAGTTTACAAGGTAAGAGTACGACGGATCCCGATTCCACACAAGGCCTGCACCAACGCGCGTTTTGCAGAGAGTCTAGATCTAGTAGTAATCAAAATTTAGAATACTAATATTTGTTTTCAAGGTCAGTTTTTGTCCCCTGGTGTTGCCTTCAACCCTCCCCCGAGTGTATCGTAAAAAAAATTAAAAAATCAATAATCCCCCCCCCCCCCCCCCCATTCCGGAGTCCTATACTTCGAATGAACTTTGGTGACCCATACAATTGCCGGTACTCATAATGTGATGGAACGCCCAGGTTCAATGACCAGTCATGATGGCGAGCCCGACAAGAGGCTTGTATAACTATAACTTTCTTTTATTTTTTACACAAGTGACAGCACGAGGACAAATATTGATTTATTTTCATGGCCACACAGAGTTTGCCATGCACAACCTGCATGTTACAATTAATGTTGCGTTATCAAACTACTACGGTACCAGCAAATTTCTGGGTGGTAACGAAAGCGAAAGTAGATCTTGATTTTCCCTATCAAACCTTGGTATCGAACATACACTTTTCCGCTTACCACCATAGCCGCCTGTTCGCGTGAAGAAACGTACTCTCGGTCCATGGAAAGCTGAATGAATATCACAATCGCGACCGGCAAAAATGAACATAAAAGGGCTTTTTCGGATTTGGTTTTCAAATATTCGATAACTTTTCCGTATTTTCCCGGAGCAATTTACAGATTTCCTCAAATTCCTGGGTAATTCTTGGGGCCTGGCAATCACCCTGCAGAATCAAGAAGTCGGTGGCTTATCTCTCAAAATCGGTGTATCGGTAGTTTGACCAAAAAGTCGGTGATATACCGATTTTTTCTGTAGGATTGGCTACCCTTTGTAAATTTTTAAGACCACCCAGGGACTTTTTTAGAACGCAACTTGCACATGGGAGCGCCAACATTTTGTACCCTCATCTGAGAAGGCTAGGGGTTTGATTTTACCTACCCTAGTTAAAATCAAAGGTGAGGCTGAAAGATTGCAGTAAGGAGCCAAGAGAACCAGTACAGGTAGAAAGAGTCGGGGTGGGGTGGGGGGGGGGGGGGTTGAAGGAGAGAGGAGCCCAGAGGTTGGTTGGGGGGTTGGGCGCAGAGAAAATTATCAAATGAAATTTATTTCAAGTTCATGTTCCAAATTTTGAAAAAGAAAAACTTTTTATTTTCACGGTGGAGACTTGTTTCGTGATCACAGACACATGAGAACAATGTAGAACACTTACATTTATGCCAGCCAGAGCAGATTTTTAAATATTGTCAACAGTCACAGTATGGCTATGCCCCTTCATTTGCTTTAAACTTCAGTCAGACTTTCTTGCTATGAGGTGAGGTGGAGTTACTTTGTCACTCATCAAAACAATATCAGATATCAGCTCCACATTTTTCTTTTAAAGAGGTAGAAAGTTTCTTCAACTCTTCATCCCTTGACTGATGTCTCTGAACTTAACTCATACTTACCCGAATATGGGCAACAAGAACAGCACAGAGCAGATAACTGTGAAGATTCTGGTAAACCACAAAGTTGTCTCCACTTTGTTTTGCATCATGTGAGCCTATGGAAGAGAAAATCCTCTGAAGTACAAAAAACAGCAGAAAAAAAGCATTTCTAAAATTCATGACTGCTACCAGATTCACCATCATTGCCTTTCTCTCCCTGGATCAGGATATAAGCCACTAACAAATACTTTTCACCTTTCCCTATCTTGGGCTAGTCGCCTGATGTCACTCCATGTCTTCCCACTTTACAGTAATCCATTTCCGTGACTCTTCTCCAGATTCCTCGAGGTCTTCCCTTTGATCTTTTACCCTGTTGGTTCCAACCTAACACTTTTGTTTCCTGAAAGCGTGTCCAATCCATAGCCAACGTCTTCTTTCCACCTCATCTCTGACCGGGCTCTTTATCATTCTTTTTAATACTTCCTCATTGGTAATCCTGTCCATTCACCTCATCCCCAGTAACTTCCTTAGACACTTGCTACCAGATTACTTTCATCAGAAAAATGTATCTCCTGCAACTTGAGTTAACAAGGGCAAAATGCGGCCCCAATATTATACAGAAATACCTCAACTCAATTCAACTGAAAATATAAATTCTACAGAATTAGAGTGTCTTACTCCAACGGTCCTTGAAAACAAGTGACGCTTTTGTTGCAAGTTCACGTTAACGTCCTTTGTTACAGACTGGATAAACAAAACAGTAACCAGTCACCATACATACGATTTGTGTATGAGTTGTGGGCAGGGCTTATAGGTTATGACAGATCACACGCTTCCCTCACCAGCAATTGAAAATTTATTGCTACTCATTGGTCAACTTGGGTGGGACTAATATTAATAACAACAAGTGAATGGATTATGACAGCCCGTCCACAGAGTCAGGGGTAGATAAAAAAAAACCTAAGACCAAACATCGAGAAAGTGCGAGAACACGCTTGGCTGTCTAAAGGCAGGTAAATTTGACTGTGGGTCATGGGTGAAAGTGACAAGAGACGGTTTAGCCTGAAAATTATGTTGTTAAAGAACGGATAGCCTGAAAATTTCAAGGTAAATTTACGCGGCCTGAAGGACGGGTAGGCCTCTTAATTTTCCAGGGGTGCCATCCATTTCCCAGGGGCGTGTTACAAAACAATGGCAGCACATGCTCTATTTAAATATAATATACACAAACACACACACAAACAAGAACGTAGCCAACATTACATCCAATCAACAAAATTTCAGTGTGGAACTGGAGTCTTGTGTGAATTACGAATTTCAGTCTGTTCTTACTTGTTCTATATTTTCCCCTCATCATTCTATATATAAACTATATTATGCAAATGAACCCTGCTTTGAGCATGTGAAAGGGCCTAGAATCAGAAAATCGACTGTCAAAAAACAGTTTTGGTATCATGATTCATATTATAAACGTGAAAGAAAAAAACTTTTGCTCAAACTCAAAGTAGAGTAAAAACTCAAATGGCTCAAAATTGAAGAGGGGGAGTGGAAGAGTTGTAAGAACTAAGAGAGGTCAAGATGCAGTGACACTGAAAATCTGCCTATCTTGAAAAGAAAGCTAACAAAATTTAGTAATTATTTACTATCACCCATCCAATGAAACGCAAACACTTTAGTTCATCAATAACAAGGCTTATAAGATATGACGGATCCCGACTCCACACACAGCCGGCACCAAAGCCCGCTTTGTAGAGAGTTCAAATTTTTTTTAAAGTTATAAAATCTGCTTTCAAGTTTGTTGTACTCTGGTGTTGCCTTCCGCACCCTCCCCACAGAGAGTACCTTAACCCCCCCCCCCCCCCCCCCACGAGTCCTTAGCTTCCAAACGCTCAGACTTTGAATGAACTTTGGCGACCCTAACAACCGTCGATGCTCGCACGCGCAGGTTCACTGACCGGTCACGATGACGAGCCCAACAAGCTGACAATCGGACGGTGCTTTTCTTTTTCCACAAGTGACAGCATAGAGACAAATGATTTATTTTCATGGCGACACAGCGTTTATAGTGCACAACCTGCATGTTACAAATGTTGCGTTATCAGTCTATCACCGGCCAAGGTCTAGATGGTAACGAAAGCGATAGTAGATCTTGATATTCCCGATCGAGCCACGGTGTCACACGCTTCTGCATGCCGCCATAGCCGCCTGTTCGTGTAACACGTACTGTCAGACCGGGAAAAGCCGAACGAATATCACAATTGCGACCGGCAAAAATTAACATACTGACCACATCGAAATTTGTTTTCAAATATTCCATAAATGTATATATTTTCCCAAGTCTTCCCGACTTTTTCCCAGGGTAATTTACAGATTTCCTCAAATTCCCGGATCTCAGCGATTTTTATCAAATTCCCGGCGCCTGGCTAGTCATCCTGTTTTTACTGGGGGGCGGGGTACCTAGTTTCTGACTCGTTTTTTCCGCTATTCGAATTTTTTGAATACAAGGTACCTATTTACAGTAGTCTCCGCCTAAGATCCTGGTGCTCCGGAGCAAGGAAATGCGAGATCTTAAGCGAACCGGGATCTTAACCGACGAACCCAGGGAAGAATCTATGGTGACCCATGTTAAGGCTCACAATCGGTAAAATGGTCTCCCTTCCCTTTACAATGAACTGACGTGCCCCCTTGGTGGGTTTATGGCGTATGGCGAGCAAAGAGTGGTTAACCTTGATGATCTATCACGGTGCATAGTGGGACGACGCGTGCCCTTTTCACTTATTATCCTATCATGAGTCTCAAGATCTACGCTTATCCAGTTGCCCCTCCCCTTTACCACATCTCTGACCGAGCCCCCCCCCCCCCTCAAACAAAACAAAAACCGCCTTTGTCGTTACACACCATTACGTTGTGAACACACCAATTAAAATTCAGCCTGTCTCGCAAATTCGGGAGAAGAGACAACTGCTGCAATGGTCAGGGAAGAGTTCACGGCACGATGTGATCCCGCCTGGAGCGAACGTGTAGGCCCTACCCACTCAGCGAGTGATGCAAATTTAGGGGGAGAGCTCAGGTGTGAGTGCGATGCGTGGGGAAAACAAATGCGTCGGTCAGTTCACACCCCGGTGTGAGTGATCCCGTCTGGGGCAGACATTGTATCGCTTCATCAAGTTTTACAACGTGTGTGGGATCACATTTACGATAGTGGCTGATCTTTGATGCAACGGACAGTTTATTGATCTCAACTTTTCACAGTTGGTTGATCGGCTGTGCCCGCACGGGTTTTTGTTTCGCAAATTATGATCTGAAATGCGGGATCTTAGCCGAATGTAGACCATCAGAGCGGGATCTTAGGGGTGACTTTTGTATAGTAAAAATTATGTTTTCTTAAAACAACGGGATCTTAAGCGAACCGGGATCGTAAGCGGTGGGATCTTAGGCGGAGACTACTGTATTGGGGTTCTTTTCAATGAATAGTACCCAGCCCTACCGAAAGTACTGGTGTCGGCCGTCAGCAGATATATATATATTTTTTTAAAACCGGAAATTCGTCGCATGCCGAAGATATAAAAACTAAGTACGGTCACGTCGCCGGCTATGGAAGACTTGCCAGGCCGGTGTAGCCGGAGGAAGGCCCACGGATGAGTTCAAGTAGCCGGAAATTCCGGCAGGAGCCAGAAAACTTTCCCCCCCAGACACAAACATGAAATGATCCTAACATAAAGAAGAGGCAGGAAGCTTAGACGATAAAAATGTAAAATCATCATTTAAAAAAGAATTATTATTATTTGGTTCTTGTAGAGTGTTATGGCAATAGGGTCATATAAGTGCTGAAGATTAGGTGTTACAAGAGAGTAACAAACATTTTAAAAAAGAAGAGATAAAGGACAATAGACGGTTGATTGAAAAAAAGGAGCAAACCACACCAGAGCACCTGCCAGCCACCTGCTAAGAATAATTTTCAGGAAATAACACAGCCTATTTATGTGTAACTTTGACAAATTTGAAATACTTACCAAAACAGGATTGGACTGGGTATTCTGGGGTGGACCATCCCCAGCACCATTATTAGCTGGACCATTGCTCTCTGTTCCATTTCTACTTCCACTGCCAGAATCGTCAGCCATAATTTGTGAACGTTCAAGTTACTGTAAAAAGGCCAGACATGAAAGAATTAGGCACCGTATTTATGTTCTGCAATAAACCATTAGATATCTAGTGACAATTCCTCTGTATTAACATTGTGAGGAAACCCATTGGAAGAGGCAGAGATGGTTATTTTGAGAAAGAGTTAAAAATATATAGGTCTAGCAGCTGTGCCATCAGATGCACAAAGCAGTGGGTGACCTTGATACACAACTTCAGATTCAAAATTGACAATCAAAACCGAAGTTTGGCTTGCTTAAATTTAAATATATATATGGCATCTAATGAGGATCCACACGAGCCACTTTGGGTTTTTTTTTTGATACACTCGATTCCGAAAATGAAATCAATTTTTAGCGGGGATAATCATTTTTAAAATTCTGCATGCAAAGTTTAATCCTGCATGGCAGCAAACTTCAAAGGTATTCTGAGTCACAACGTGCTTCTCCAATTCTGAACATGTGTATGCGTATGTGTGTGTGCAGGCGGCACGGATTGTGGCGTTAGACGCAAGATGCGAAGTGTGTGACATCACCTCCGGGTGTCACTCCCAGTACCTAGAATGTAGATTTAGATCTGATCTAGAGTTTTATTCAGTTTATAAGGTGTCTAGTTACCACCACAAACCATTCACTGCTCTTCGTTGTAACAATTGACGATGGTAGCGGGGGTGCCGGTATGGGGTACACTTTTTGAGAGATGTACCCCATACCGGCACCCTATTTTTTTACATGGTGCGTGACTTTAAAAATAGTTATTTCTTGACAGACTGTGGATGGCATCTTAGTACTTTAGATTTTTTAGTTTCTATGATTTGATACATGGCATCTTAGTACTTTAGATTTTTTAGTTTCTATGATTTGATACAGATCTAGATAGATATATTTAGACACGGATTCATTTGAAAATGAGCCACTTTACAGCCACTGTTTCCACATGTTGTGATATTGTTCCTGCTCCTACTGCTTCTGTTTCAGAAGAAGAACTTGTTGGCCCTCCCCCAACTGCCCTTGTCTCTAGTTGTGAGTGGTCAGTTGATGCACTAAACTTTTTGACCACAGGTCTGGAGTTCTCGGGAATCGAATGTACCTCCGAGGACTTCCTGGATCTTGCAGCAGTAGAGTTTCAGCTACCTTTGGTTTCAACACCAGCTTGGGATCCTGTGGATAACCAGGACCATGACTATTGTCTGCCTGAGCAGGCATTGAGACCATTGGAAGATGAAACTCTGGTGACACCTCAAGCCCCCCAAAAACTGCCTCAGGACAACACTTTTGCTTTGTCCTTGACAAGCTAATTGATCACGCCATTGCCACTGGATGGATGGCATCAGACATGCATTGGGTCCACCGTTGCCATTGGCACAAAATCGAACCTAAGGAGAACGAGGGGGCATACAGAAAGTACCTTGATTTGTACACAATCAACTCATTCCTGCCCCCTCGTTCGTCAACCTGCCCGTACCAGCAAGCTGGAACTCCATGGTTTCAACACAGAGAAGCGAGCTTAGGCCCCTAAGTATCAGGGCTTCCAGTCTTCCGCAATTTTGCGGATTTCCGTGAAAATTCGTGCCCCCCCCCCCCCTCCAAAAAAAAATTAATTATTATTTTAAAAAATGCGAAATAAAAATTTTCCGTTATTACCAATAGTCAACAATAGCCAACCCATACCGGAAGTGCTCTTTTATTTGAAAGTGTAGACAGTGTCTTTCACTTTCACTTTCTAAAGCACAAGAAGCAGAGTACCAGCTCTGTAAACAAGAGGAAGAAATGACGATTGTGGTTCAATAGATCTTGGGCCTGCCAAGAAAAGAAAACTCTAAAGAGAGCTTGATTTTTTTAAACCAGACTTGTTTATTTGTAAGTATTGTTGTGGATTTAAGTTGAATATAAGCTTCAAGTTATTTTAGATCTAGAATCTAGACTAGAATCTAGAGATCAAGTCAAGCTGTTATATAAACAGCTATTATTGTAAAAATTCTACACCTTATGCTGATTATGGTGCAAACCAACACAAGCAGAAAAAAGTTAAACATTAACTGTCAAGTTTTATAGATCTAGTTGTGGGTGTACAGTATCTGTACAAGGGAGAAAGCTTGGGTTTGGACATATATGGATTGATTAACACAAGCAGAAAATTATGTAGGCCTATACAAGGTATGTTTTTTTTTCTCAATTATTTTCTAGTTAAATTTAGGCCTGAATAGCCAGAAATGGCATACTTAGGATGCCCTGAAACCAAAATTTCTCAAACAGAAAGGGGACGCTGTGCCCCTTCAACCCCCTGCCAGGGCTCTGCCCTGGACCCGAAAATCCTCGAAAAATGACATCAGCTGCTGGAAGCACTGAAGTATGTCTTAGGGGCAAAGTACAAAGTATGGGAGGAAGCGAAGAATTGGAAGAAGAGAAGAAAAAAGGAAGAAGTGGAAAAGAGGAAGAGAGAAAGGGAGAGAAAAGGGTGGAGAAGGAAGAAGAGAAAAGAGGAGAAAAAGTAACGAAGGGAAGAAGAAGAAGAAACAACAGGGAAATTCATGTATGTGTGCGAGTAAGATGTTCATGTGAGTTTGTTGTGATACCTGTAGAAGAGTAAAATGAAGCATTCATGTACCTGTGTGTGAGGAAGATGTTCATATATATATATGAGTTTGTGATATGTGTGGAAGAGTAAAATGAAACATTCATGGTACCTATGTGTGAGTAAGATGTATGTGAGTCTGTTCTGGTGGTTGTTCTTTTTAGTATGTCAATAAACATTAGTTCTGTCTTAGGCCCACTGTACGAAAGGAGTTTGTCTTTGCTTCTTTCCTCTTTTCAAACGCCTAGTTGTGCTTCAATTTGGGGGTGCTGGTATGGGGTGTAGTGACTGACGGTATGGGGTACATGCCATGACAGAAAACCCGACAAGTGACGGTATGGGGTACATGTCATGACATGCGTCAAGTCTCGGGGGGTCTTCTTTATACACTATCTGACTAAAACCTTCACCCAACACCTACAGGAAAGGCTGGCCTCTCAACAAAACGAAATTTTGGGTAGATGTTTTTGAAAGAGCCAAAGTTATGGTTATACAGAAGTTCACTTCCGGAAATAGTCATCACAAAACACTAAGGTGACGGTATGTATGCCGTACAGGAGCTCTAGATCTAATCTAGATTCAAGCCCCCAAAAAGTGGCACACAAACCTAAAGCAACCTCCTTTACTTTCGTTGAAACAACAGTTATGGCGATATTTTGCTAAAAATAGTCCTTAAGACAGCTTTTTCTTTATCAACTGAGCAAAATAACGTGAAGCTCTTTCCCTGGAAGAGTTAACATTGGTTGTGGATGAAGGAGCCTGTGGCCTAGATTCTATGTTTTGGTAAACTCTGAAGGCTGGAGAGTTATTTGCATATGAGGCCCTGTCAAGGATGAAAGAGAATTTGCAGTTCAGTCTCGCCGTTTTTGCCCAAAGGGGGGGTGCCCGGATTGTAACATAAAATACGTAGTTTCTCATCCTTCGGGCACATAAGATAATATAGTGCCAATGGTTATAGATCTAACAAAGAATCAAGAATTTGTGCATAATTTAAATAATAGTAGAGTCAGATACAGTTCTCGCGCTACTCCTCTCTCTCTTTCTCTCTCTCCACTGCCCACAGACAAAGGCCACCTCTATTCTCACCCGGAGTGAGAATAGTGCAGGCGAGTCTTGTGGCTATTCTCACCCGGTGCGCGTTCACCAAATTTTGCGTTCACCCTAAACCACAGAATTCTACTATAACAGAAAAATTGTAGAATTCTGTGCCGTGAACAAACGTTCCATTACAACTGTAGCCTACTAAAAGCGTACAATTTTGTCTGTGGGCAGTGGATAGAGAGAGAGAAAGAGGGAGAGGAGTAGCGTGAGAATTTCCGGGCAAAACAAAATGGCGACCCGCGTAGTTCGGCTCGATTCGAATTTTTTTTAGTTAAATAGCCGTAGCGTAGCATCTTTGTAGACAAGAACCAAATTAATTTACTTTTGTGTTTTATAATCATTTTTTAACTCTGTTTTGGTCAATTTGATCATCCACACCGATAGACAGTATTCAGAAAGAGACAGAGAGAGAGAGAAGAGGGGAGGAGTTGATCTTGCGAGAACTTCTGGGCGGGTGAGAATAGCCACTTTCACAGACAAAATTGTACGCTTTTTACAGACTACAGTTGTAATGGAACGTTTGTTCACGGCACAGAATTCTACAATTTTTCTGTTATCACAGTGTAGAATTCTGTGGTTTAGGGTGAACGCAAAATTTGTTGGCCTAGATCTAGACTCTAGATCTAGGCTATTCGGTGAACGCGCACCGGGTGAGAATAGAGGTGGCCAATCTAGATTTAAAAACAGAGTTTTAAACGATTTTTTGGTACTCCAGTGCCCGACAGCTAAAAAAAAAAACGTGCTGCCCGACCCGGTACGATTACTTACTCTAGATTCTAGAGGCAGAGGAGTCTAATTATAAATCTAAGGCTAAGACTGACTAAGGCAGGCAATCTAATCCACTAACAATTTATAACGTTTTAAAGCCCACTTACATTTAAAAGAAGACTGCTGGTTGACGCTACCGTAAAGGCCGATCCAAGAAGGTTCCTCTAGATCTAAATCTCAACCGTTGTCGTTTCCACTTGGCTCAACTTAGTCTTTTATTTTTTTTAAAACTGGAACATTGATTGATCGAAGCGTCGTTCTCGTTGCTTCCACCAACGATGAGGATGGTGGGTGACAGGTGTTTCCAACTCTAGTGCAAAAGAGTAGATCGTGATCTCTACAAGGAGAACAGGGCGAGTTGTCTCGCCGCCTTCGTCTTTGATAACGATCGCTATTTTCTGTAAGAAATAAAAATTACATGACAATGTAGAAATTTTCTAAAGAATTTCGTTTTCTGGAAACGGAACTGAGGTAGAGGCTTATAGAATGGATTAATGTTTTTAACGATAGAGGAGCAAAAAAAAAAGAATGTTTTTTGTTGCTTTAAAAAAAAAAAAAAATCTTATGGCCACAGAGCTAAGCTTCACGCTGTAATATCATTGAAATATTTAATCATCAACAACAATGAATAGTGGGATGTTTACAAAACAAGCTACGAACTTTGAGGACCTATAATCTACAGAAGGATAACTAGTAACTACTATTTCCTGCAACACTGGCTATAACACTTGTCGAACAGACGACTGTCTATCTAGCAGTGTACAAGAATAATATCTTAACGTAGATGAAAATCAGCGTGTCAAGCGATGAAGAATTTGTTTAGCTTTAAACTGGTACATGTAGGCCTATGCCGCAGCAGTGGGTAGCGCAAGCCTTTAACTTTAACACGATGATTGGCTGAATACATTTTCAAGTTGTTGTTTTTTTTCGGACGCCACTGTATAATCAATGAGAAGCCAGGGCTTTGAGTGGGGATGCCTCCATATGATCTAAATCTTGTAGAATTAGATGGAAGTTTGTATTGGTGATGAACAGACAATGTTCTGTACATTTCAAATGGGGTGGTACTTTGAAAAACTACAAATACAAGACAAAAGCAGTTTCTGGTACGCTTGAATAATAATCTGAGAGCATCCGAAAAAAAGGAATGAACCGATAACCATGAGCATCGAAGTCTGTCGAAGATCTATAGTACGTTGATGATGACGAGAGAGGGGTACCACCCAAAGAACTCTGCAGAGAAGCAGATAAAAAGGAGGCCCAATTAAGGTAATAATTCAAGAGGAAAAAAAAAAAAGAAGTAGAAGAGAGATATCCGCATCCCGCTATTTTTCATGTCCTGATCTTAAATTCTGAACCTCAGCTGTGCTTCGACCCGATCCTGAAAATAATTTCAGGCAGGTGATTCTCGAAGAAAGTTGAAATAATGTGTCTCTAATTCAAGATCAAATCCTGGTACTGACTGTTTTGTGCAACACAAACCGCTTTTGCAGCCAGTGAAACTTCGTCCCAAAAGTTACCAGAAGCTTCAGCGTACCAGTACTAGATATCAACAGTTTATCAGACTTCAATAGACTGATCCCTTTATTTGCAGAAAAAGAAGAAACACATTTTCTCAATTCAATTTTCTGATACTGAACGCCATTAAAAACACTAAGAAAGCCAAACTATGCTCTGATCGCCACGATTTTTGGAGACAGGTTGTTAATTCACACTCCCCAGCACGATTTTTGTTTTTTTCCCGTTTCACCACAGCACCGTGACCCGTCCTTTGGTGAAATGTATTAATGAGGCGCAATATTAGGCCTACTCGACGATGAGAAGAATTAAATTCGCTTAGAAGATCATAATTAAGTGGCTCTTTCCAAACAAAAATCCAGACATTTTTTGCTATCACTTTTGATTTTTCTTTCATTAGAAGACGCCTGAACTTAGCGACACTGGCCACACGTTTTGCCTCCACCTATAAATATATTTCAAGGCGGAATATCTTCCCAAGAAGCAGCAATTAAGGCGGCTAAAATGTAGTGTCTGTATTGTGTTACAAAGTAGCTGTTCAAACCGTTGTTTGAATCACCAGTTTGTAGCCTTAGGGAAGACAAATGTGCGCAAAGTCTTACAAGTACAACAAGGTACCAACTAAACGAATAGAATGTACTGTTTTAATTAAAAACGAAGAACTTTATTGTGACTCGTGGGGTGGGGGCTCTAAATACGTGTAATAGAAAAAAGAAAGGTTATGCAAGGAAGATCAACTTTCAGCAATTACATAGCTGGACAAGACGTAAATGCGGACACACTCGATTACAGATTATAGCATGCGTATTGCGTATATCCAAGACGGTGATCGCCTGTGGAGAGAAGCAATGACAAGAACAGTATTTTTAATACTACCAATATTAAATCAAGTTGCTAAAGTATCTGTAACACATTGTAGGCCTAATAACTGGTAGGGTACCCTTACCTTAAACTAATAAAGACTGACACTGCTTTCAGTAAACAAAAGGAAAATTGACATGCACTCTGCAATGTCTCTGGGCTGTGACACACACACACACACACACACACACACACACACACACACACACACACACACACACATACACTCAGAGTCGGTTCCAACAGGAGAATGGCGTAGTAGACCTTCTTTTAATGTCAGTATTTGCACAGGTCGGGGATTCATTGTACTGTTCATTTCTCCTTAAGTTCAATGTACACAATGGGTTTACAGTTCAAAGTACATACTGGGATTACAATTCAAAGTGTTTACTGGGATTACAGTTCAAAGTATACAAGTCTGTGGTCTTCACAGAAGGAAAACGAAACTGGTGCCGGGTAGGCATAATAATATAACAAACAAAGGAAACTGGTGTCTAGTAGGCACAGACTGGAGCAAGGCACTACTCAGCTTCAAACACGGGCCCTAAACTAAGGGCGGGAATAACAGGTAAGCGACTACAACTTTCAGGATCCACTGCAAAGGTGCTTCAATAAGCACAAAATAATTTCATAAATGGTGATACGGGTCCTAAAACTAAGGACGGGAATAACAGGAACACGACTGGTCTCCGAGTGGATCAAACCAAGACTGGCGAGGTTTTGAGGCTCTTAGTCCACCCCCTCTTCAAGACAAAGAGTCCCACTATGGTAGGAGTCGCGGTTTCCCACGTTAGCGTGGGAACAAAAGTTCCATTTTTAAGACGATGATCCCCCAGTAGGGATACGATCTCCAGTGATCTCGCCTTATTGCCCGTTCCTTCCCCCAAAATCAATAAGCACGCTGGTGCCAAAAAGTCATGCGTACCACATGTGTACCATTTTGCTGCGTATTGTTTCTCGACTTATCCAAAGTTTTTCATAGACTTGCAGCGTCCAGGATAGACAAAAATTAGGACAGCCTGGAGTGACCAGCACTGCTCAAGACTGACAGATTTGGCTGTCACGTCTGCGGAATCGTTTCCTTTTTGCAAAAGTAACAGCCCAAGACATGCAAGTGTTTCTTCCTTCAATGTGAGACGCCGAGTAGTTATCCAGGACTTAGAACTAGAAAGCTTTTTTTAAAGAATTGTTATTAATTAACGAATCCGCGACAACAGCGCCGTATCCACTGAACGCAACAGCACGGGGG